ATGATTTTATATAAGTAAAAAAAAAAAATAAATAAATAATTTTCAAGAATCTTTTATACTTACATATACTTTGTTTTTATTTTTCACACATTACACAAGTGGTTAGATTATTTTATATCCAAGTTTGCGGGATTGTAAATTTTATATACAATACGATTATTATAGCATAGGTTGATATACATATGTGGAACAATATACATTATATATACGAATATTGAAAATTATACTTTGAATTATTAAACTCATATATTATATGCGATATATATACATATATATATATATATATAGCACTAAAAATATAATATCAAAATTTAATTTAAACTTATTCACAAAATATTGAAATGCTTAAATTAATAAAATTTTCACCACAAAAATGTGGTTATAGGAAAATTAAATTTTTTTTTCTATTTTATTATTTTCATTATTATTACTGAAATTTAATCAAATCCTGTTGAATATTTAAAGAATTTATGAAAAATATTATATTCTTTCTAAATATATAAAATATTTTCAATTATATAGACAATTAATTGAACGTATTATAATACGTGCATACATATATGCTATAAGGTATACATACACATAAATATGATTATTTTGCATGTATGTATGTATAGTTAACAAATTCAAAATAAATTAGTTATACATATAATATTTTCATATTATTTACTTATTCAAAATGCAAATCATGTTTATATTTTAAAATTTATACCACAAGAAGAAAAAAAAAATAAATAAATAAATTTTTTAAGAAAAATTTTTAAATATTCCTTATATGATCCTTTAAAAATATTGTTCTAACATAATATTTACCGACCATATTGCATACTTTAAGGGAGGTTATGTAAAGGTCACCAAATTTCACATATTTGGTTTTTGGCAGAAATACGTTTAAGTTTATTTAAAACTTTCATTTAAATTTATATATGAGATTATTTTTGGGGATAGAACGACTTGGTCAACTTCTTCTATGTCTCAGACTTTAGGAATTTTCCACAAATTCCTCGATTTTTATATTTTTTGCAATATCTTAGAACGTATAATTAACAAAATTTTTTCGAAATTTAATACTTGAGCTCTGATTTTCAACAAAATAAACTGGGAAAAATTTGCCGGGAAATTATGGATCATCGCATAAACGACTCCCTAATTGGGAACTAAATTTACATTTTCCTAGGTACATTAGCCTTTAATATAATTTAAAGTAAGTGTTTGAACAATATTCATGTAAACTTACACAATATTCTAAAATATTTTCGGTTATGTGCTGCTCATACCAGATTTCTGTTCCATATACTCGAATTATATTATAAGAACATTCTTTTGTGTAGATAAAGATAAGGACACCACAAACTATTAATAAGATTAGCCAAGAAATAAAAAATTATTATGGTTTTATTATGAATTCCTTAAAGTTGTTATCACGTAAAATTTCTTCAATTTTTCACAAAATTTTTAAAATTTTTGGTAAAAATTTTTTATTTTTAATATTTGTTATACAAAAATAATAATGTTCTGGTCACGTTTTTAACACATTTTAATGCTTAAATAAATCAGTAAATTGGAGGAAAATTTCCTTTTTGAAAACCTTCAACCAATATTATGAGCTGCTTAATTCTTAAAAAAAATTTTCTTAATTGTCATTATTTCAAAAATTATAAAACGAGAGTGAAAATTTTTGAAAAAAAATTGTAAAACAGGAAAAAAGCAATCTAAAACCGTTATTAAGTGAAGAAAATCCTTGTATTCTTCCTTTTTTCAAACAAAATTACAGGAGGAGAAATAGGGGGGAATGTCGAGGCTCTTTTCTTTTGACATACTTAAATTAATCTCAATTCAATGATTTTATTAACATTATTAAGAAATTTTTTACTTAACAACTTTTATTTCTTATATTATTAGAAATTCTCTCTTAAAATTATAAATAGAATTGCTTTGATATTCGTCATTAATATTAAATGTACTTGATATTGTGTAAAAATAGACAATTTCTTACTCTATATGTTATAAACTACCATGGTTTTTTCAATATGAAAATATTCAGTATTACTTTAGATGTAGGTGAAAAACCAAAATTCACACGTTACATGTGAAAATTTAATAATACTTTGTATAACACTTGACTGTTAACCTTTTGTCTGACAATATTAATTTACATGTTTAATTAACTTTAAATTATAAAATATCACCTAAGGACTGTATGATGAAAGGTTAAATATTGCCACCTTCTAAAAGTTTTAATATTTCCATTTTCTATCCTTATTCGACAAAGGTAGAAAGAAACGAGTCTACCATTACAAAATAGCTTTAAAGTTAACTTGGTCCAATATGGTTCATTCAATCTTTTTAGAATATTTTTCACTTAGCAGTAAATTACAGATCTCTAAAACATTAAGCATTAATAAATTGCCTCATTCGTAAACCAAAAATTTTATCTTCCTTTTCGGGTTCTGGTCCCCTAAAAATGAGCACAATATGATGTTGTACAACGCATTACTTGATCGTCACTTATGAAATTTCTTTAAGAGAAGGAAAATAATAAAACAACTTTTCTAAAGAAAGAGTGGAATAAGTCAATTTTAAATTATTAAAGGAAAAAATATGCAATAATTTAAAATTTCGGTTCTTAATTATAAATTTAATTATAGTCTCTATTCGTTTCGCAATACATATATTTTAAATTTTAATTTTACAAAATTTCATTTAAAATCCTACATTTTGTTTATATGTACTTAATAACACAAAAATGTTGAAACATTCATGTACAAAAAGTAGCCTAAAGGCTTATGCCTTGAAGAGTAGAAAATTGAAGAGAAATTTAACATTTTCACTGTTTACTAAGTTTATTCTCATTGTATTACCAATTACTCGTAAGTAAATTTTATTTTAATTATAATGTACGTAATTTGTTTTACAATGCGTCAAAAACGAAAATAGGTAGAGTTGACCCTGTTAACTTTGTAATATCAGTACTAATGAATAATTTAAAGAGTTGTATAGTAATTGGCACACTGTTTCACAGTAATTGCCCCCTTGTTTTCCATAATTATTCGAATAAACACCTTTCGAGGTTATTCGGCCATTACCACCGCAAATCAAGAATTTCGAAGTAGTTTTATCAAATATAAGAGCCCCTATAATAATACTTGTTTGAGCGAAATTTGCATATTATAGTTTCAATAATTTTTAAGATAATGCCAAAATAGCTTTCGAAGCTGTAAGTAGGGCAGCTATCCGTATCACTATGCCTCGACCAGATCCTAATTATATAGAGTTCCGCCAATTACTATTATAAATCATTTGTGAAAATTTTGTGAACATAGTTTTTGAGCTATCGCTGGCATGGTCGAAGGGACGGACAGACAGACAAATCAACAGACGTGCTTTACTTAACTCAGAATTCGACGCTAATCAAAAACATACACTATTGTCTACATCTCAAATCATTATTTCATAATGTTAAAAACGATAACGCGAATTTAGCATACCTTTCGGACATGCTCGTACATTGTATGATAACAAATGTAAGAGTAAAATGACATATAATAAAGTTGGGTCAAACCAATGGTTTGTATTGTAGCACTTTTCCCTTCAACAAGTGAAAATTTTGCTTTTAAATACAGTCTATGTATACCTATCACTCTATTAAAATTATTTTCATTCATATACAAAACTATTTCCAGAATTGCATATATTTAGGATGACGCATATATGCAGTGTTTGAAATAAAGCAAAAATTAATATAAAAAGGGGTTAACATAATGCTCGATTCTAAGGGTTAATTGTGTGAGTTAAGAAAAATAATTATATTTTTTAATTTCATGGAATTTACCGTTAGCTTTTTGCGTTTATAAAAATTTGGAAAAGCTTGCGGTTTCGGAAATATAAGGTGTCAAAAATTCAAATTTTACAAATTTCAAGAGGTGATAACTTGAGAGGGGGTGGAGATGGAAAAAAATTTTCTTCTAACGAAATAAACTATTTGTTAATGTCTAAAAGCTCCTAAAATTTCAAGCTTCTACAGGCTGGGGTCTAGAAGAAAAATGACATCAAAAATTTGGAAAAAAAGGAATTTAGATAACGGTAAATTTGAACGGCCATTTTGTTTTTCTAAAGTTTAACTATAGTATATCGCGCTAGGGGAAGCAAGACACTGCCTTTCTGCGTTTGCAGAATTTCAAAAATGCTTATGGTTTCATTGCAACAAATATTTAAAAAAGGCCATTTTTAGGGTTTTGGGGGGGTATAACTTCTAGAGGGGGGGAGATAGGTAAAAATTTTGTTCTACGGAAATAAGTTTCTAGTGAAGATATATGTACGTATGAAATTTCAGCTTTCTATCTTAAAGGGCGTAGAAGTTTTGTAAACAAAAAAAGTGTCCACGGACGGACGGACGGACGGACGGACGGACGGACGGACAGAGTGAAACTAATAAGCACTTTTTTCAAAAAATTTTTTGGAAAAGTGCTAAAAATGAAGATAAATGATAAATTTTTAGTTACTCTTGAAATTCATGTACACAAATATAATGTACTTTATTTAATAATACAAATTTGAATAAAACTATTATTAATTATAAATCAACAAAATTCAGTTTTTAACACTCACGTAACTTATTGGCCACCATATGATTTCTTAAAGGGTGACATAGAGAATTTTTGGTTTAAATATAAATTGACATTAACAAAATAAATTAGGCATCATTTAATACTTTTTTATATTTGAAAGTTATAAAGAAATCTCTACATAAATTATATTCCACACAATTTAGTTTTGCTGAAATCTTGTGTGATTTAACCCCATTATTCTATTTATTTATTTCTATTGCCAGAGCTAGTGCGAAAAAATAACTCTTAACAAAATAGTGATCAATTTTTTAGGTCTATGTGTCTTTGAGTTTTAACCTAATATCAATAAATTAAACATATTAAAAATTATTTTTATTCACAACTTCTGATTCTTGTTAATTTTAACACAATATTTTATCTGTTTCTTTTCAGATTAATTCATTGTTAAAGAAGAAGTACTGAATAAATTTCAATATGAATCAGGATAAAATTCGTGATCATTTATTTTCGATTCTAACTACACCATCTCTAATAATATAGCATTACAAATTCGAAAAATACAAAATTTCTATTTTGATATTTTGAATAATATTGAAAATCCTTGAATAAAGGAACGAAATAAGGTTTAAAGAAAAACTTTACAATTATAATAACAAAATCATCAATATACAATTAAATATACAAAATGGATACGGATCTTGAAACAAATATAACACAAGCTCAAATTGAATTTATATGCCATCATGCGAATCGTTCACTATATTTATACAATTTAAATGATACATCGTTATGCCTAAATACAAATAATACATTAAATTTTATAAATTCAAATAATTTTAATTTTAATAATAATAATTATTCAGATACAGGTGAACATGTTATATCACCTGTTATACGTAATATTATTTATACTGTTTTATATACATGTGTATTAATAATTGGTCTATTTGGTAATACATTAGTTATATATGTGGTGATAAGATTTTCAAAAATGCAAACTGTTACAAATATATATATATTAAATTTAGCGATAGCTGATGAATTATTTTTAATTGGTATACCATTTATATTGACGACAATGCATTTAGGTAGTTGGCATTTTGGGAATACAATGTGTAAGGCATATTTGGTTAGTACATGTATAACACAATATACATCATCATTAATATTATTAATAATGTCTGGTGATCGTTTTGCAGCTGTATGTCATCCAATAACAATGGGTAAATATCGTACACCATTTTATTCAAAAATCTTTGCTAGTATTGCATGGTTAATATCATTATTTTTTGTAACACCGATATTATTATTTGCTAGCGCTAATAAAAATGAAAATGGTCAATATACATGTAATATTTATTGGAATGGTTATGAAGATGGTGCAATTTATTTTACAACAATGTCAATAATATTTGCATTCGCTATACCATTTAGTTTAATGATCATTTTTTATGTATTGGTTGTACGTAAATTACATACTGTTGGTCCAAAATCAAAATCAAAAGAGAAAAAACGTTCTCATCGTAAAGTGACACGTTTAGTTTTAACAGTTGTTACCGTATATATATTATCATGGCTGCCCTATTGGATGACACAAATATCATTAATATATACGGATCCATATCAGAAGAGATCAAAATTAGAAGTATATATATTTTTAATATCAAGTTGTTTGGGTTATACAAATTCAGCTGTTAATCCAATTTTATATGCATTTTTAAGCGATAATTTTAAAAAAAGTTTTGTAAAAGCATTTCAATGTGCAACACAAGGTGATCTTAATACACAATTACAAGCCGAGAGTAGTTTTTTTCCAAAATTCGGTAAAAATAAACATCATCATCATCATCATCATCATCTACATCATCATCATCAACATCATAATGGTGGTAGCGGTAGTAGTAGTAATACAAATAAAAAATTTTTAAATAATACAAAAAATCAAAAGAAAATCTGTAATATTAAAATAACTGGTACAACTGGTACAAATAATAATAGTAGTGATATTGGTAATAACCAACGAAATGATTCAACAGTATCGATATTAGGTGAAAATCAATCATCAGTTACTTATCATTGTGCTGGTAGTGTATATGGTAGTAATAATAAAAATTTATTATGTTTGACAACAACTGGAACAACAACAACTACAACAACTGGTGTATCATTTTATAATACTGAATCACAACAAAATGATATTAATAAAAATGGTTTGAATCATATTACAAATAGTGATGATTCTGATAATTCTATAGTATTAATAAATGATAAACCAGCTGTGTTACAATCTGATTTATAAGTTATTGATATATTATAGTAGAACCGAAAATAAAAGTAAAAAAACTATAAATTAAAATTGCATATCTACAGGTACTGTAAAAGAGTATTTTTTGCAAAAAGAAAAAAAAAATTAAATGTAAATTTTGCTTTTATTGAAAATAGGTTGTCAAATGTAATATAAGGCTTCTAATTTCAAATGAACTTTTACTTTCCATAGCTAGTATATATTAAATAAATAAGTTAAATAAATAATATTAATTTAGAATAATATAAAAATAGAAACACTACCCAAGAATCAATTCAACGAAATCGTTTTAATAAATAAATATTAACAGTATCGGACAATTTGATAAATTACCTAACATAATAAATAGTTTTTAAAAAGAAAGCCATAATTATAATCAAAGAATGTAGAATGCAAAATGGATTTGAAAAATTTTCTAATAATTTTGTAATCGACAAAATAAACAAAAATATTATTTAGAACTTTTACAATGCCATCAGTCATAAAATAAATTAAAATCAAAAATTTCCAAATACGATGAAAAAAATTAAGAAATTCATAATTTAATCATGAGGGAAGAAATAGTGCTAATCATAATTAAAGTTTTGCCATTGTATTCAATTTATACCAACCATCGAAACAAAAATTTATTTTACATAATAAAGAATTAATTACGATGCGAATAGATTTGTGTTCTATATACCTGTCTTCTACTTTATTAAAATTAATACGCTCCAGTTACATCAAGGAATCTTATATCGAATCTTTCGGTTTAAATTCACTCAACCGAATCAATTCAGTTCAAATTGGAGTTGAATTTTTCCTGAAATCTAGTGTCGTTTGCAAGTAAAACTCAAATATTCTATTAGAAGAAATTTCAATAAAATATTTTTGATATTATTCTCTTAGTATTCCAGATTTCTGGTGCTCGTGGAAAGATACTAGATATAACAAAATACAGAATACAGAATAGAAGAGAGCAATATCTTTCTTATTATATTATTCAATTACTGTGGTAATACAAAATTCTTCTTAATTAATTTATCAAAATTTTTTCAATATTCTTTTACAAAAATTATGATTAAATTTCATTTACATATATATGTATGTATGTGTATATTAATAATTAAAATTAAATTAATGTTTAATTTTATTTATTTATTTTAATATTAATATTAATTATAACAATATGATAATGAAGTTAATTATTTGTTTTTATGTAAAATTGCCCTTTTTATTGTTATTTTAACACAAAGTATTACTAAAATAATAATGAAATTACCAATTCTCTGAAACAAAAAATTAATTATAACTTATTGTTATATTACTTCAAATTATATAGAACACAATTATAACCTTATTGTCAAATTATTAATTAAATTATTTTTAAATAAATGAACAAAAATTTAAAAAATTATTTGAATGCACAGAATAATTCCAATGTTATGTAATTACATAGGCTACATAATTTTCTTTTGACAAAATAATTCCTTGGCTATAGTAATAATTAAATTAAGTTTTTATTTTAAAATATTATTTAATAATTAATGTAATTAAAATAAAATAAAATATATTAAATTATAATATGGAATTCAAAAAATTAAAAGTAGGTTTTGAATAAAAAAAAAATTATTAAAAAAAAAACAATGGACTGTGATTTTATCATTAAATTTTTCAAAAATAAAAAAAAAATTATTCATTTTTAATAATAATTAACTAAAGTAAATAATTGAAAAAAAAATTAATTATTATATAATATTAATTCAAAAAAAAAAATTAACTTACCAAATAGCCATTAACTATAATTAAATATTTTTTTAAATAAAATTAAAATAAAAATATAAAAAAAAAGCTTATAATGGAATAATTGCTTATAAAACGAATAAAATAATTTCTTTATTTTATACTTAATTTAATAAATTTTCAAAGAAAATAATCTCAGCCAAAAAGAACCCTTAGTTAAGTAATTTTGGTATTTTCGTACCGAATCCGAATGTACCACGAATTTTTCCATGAGAAATTCCTATTCCATTTTGGAATTTGTACTATATGACAAAATTTCAACAAAATTTTTTTTTTTAGTTTTGTAAATACGGTATAGGTACAAGCCCATTAGAGTTCCAGTCATAAGTCCAAGAATTTAGTGAAACATTGGGAATAGGAATTTACAAAAATGGGGAAAAATGGGTTGTTTTTTAATTTTTCAATTATAATGAATTTTTTTAATAATAAAATTTTAGTTTACCTACATTTTATAGTTATTTGTTAAATTTTATATTTTTAATTTATTTATAAAAAAATAACAAAATAAATTTACAAAATTAAAATACCAAAAACAATTAAAAACTCTTACAAAATATTTAAAAAATAAACGAAACGAACCAAACACAATACATTCAAATACAACATAAAAAAAAAAACATTTTTATTTTATATTGAAACAAGAAAAATTGTGTATTCATAATAAGTTTTAAGAGCTAAAAATATAAAAATTTCATAAATTAAAAAATTAAAATAAAGAAAAAACAAATTATTGTAAAGTATGAAAAAAAAAAAATAACTACAAAAAATTGTGAATAAATATGAAATAAAAAAAAATTAAAAAAAATGGGGTATTTAATGTTTGAATGACAGTTTAATATTGCAAATTTTTCAGCTCCTTGGTAAAAGAAAATCACTGTACACACTTCTTAGCCATATCGGTTTTATAAACTCTGCAATACTGAACTTCTAGTCGAACTAAAACAATAAAAACATTGAGATTTGTAATTATTTGTCAGGAAAGTTAAACATTATTAATAATTGAAGATTGAAAAAGGGTTGGATTATTTCAATGAAAATAAGAAATTTAAAACTGAATAAGACTTGAGCAAAAACGATAAATTTCCAAAAGTATTTTACGATAAATATTTTAGAATTACGAGATCAACATATTTATAACAGTTCGTTTGACATTATAATATAACATTTTATTGTAATTGTTTATTTAACATAATCATGTTATACCGACGACGATCGACGATTTTTGTACTTTTCAAAAAATTTAAAAAAAAAAATGCTTATTAGTATTACTCTATCCCTCCGTCCGTCCGTCTTTTACGCCCTTGAAGATAGGAAGCTGAAATTTTATATGTACATAGATCGTTACTGGAAATTTGTTTCCGTAGAAGATATTTTTACCAACCCTTAAAAATCCTAAAAAAAACATTTTTTAACTATTTATTGCAAATAAATCATCTTTCGAAATTTGTATAATTTAAATTTTTGACACCTTCTATTGCCGAAACTGCAAGCTATTCCGAATTCCAATATATGCAGAAAGCTAAAGGTAAATGGCATGTCATTAAAAAATATAATTATTTTTCTTAAACTACGCAATTAACCCGATTAATTCGAGCATACATTGTTCATCCTTACTGTATGCAATATTTGAAATATATTCGTATATGAGTACAAGTAATTTTAATGATGTAGACCCAACTATATTAAATTACTTTACGTCAAATCTGAGAGTGAGGTTTAAATTATTAGTGCCATATTCATAAAATTATTTCATCTTTTTTTTTTAATTATACTTACTAAACAATTTCGTACATTAGGCGAATTACTAAATTTTGATCGAAACGATATTATGATGTACGACTTTATCATACTCTAAAAATATTTTTTATACAATTTTTTTATTATTTTCTTCAATTTGTTTCCTTCAAATAATTTTCAAACTTTTTGCGTTTAAGTTTTCTGAAGATAAAATATTCAAAAAGTTTTGGCTAATCTTTCAAAAGAACAAAATTTATTATTCATTATAATTTAGTAATAATTATTATCACATTTGACTTACTCGGAAAATGAAAAATTACTATAGGAAAATGAGAATGGATAACATCTCGATTATTATTCTAAAAATTAATGCTATCATAAATAATAACAACATTTATAGCATCATTATCTGAATTAAATTTTAAATAAATTGTGATTTTCATCTTTTACTCTATTACATTAATAAATTATGAAAAATCCTGAAATTTTTTAAAGTAAATTATAAAATCACAAATGTATACGTACATAATTTTATGTTTATAATCCAAAAATTATTACTTTAATCTTAAAATTAAAGAAAAAGTTTAATAAATTTCTTTTGAAATGAATTTAAAAATTTATATTTGATTTTTTATTACGCACCTCTTAAATATTATTTCCCTTTAGGGCAATAACATTTTCAACAAATTTTAATTAGCTATTACCGTAATGATCTAAAACCATTTTAATAATGGAAACAAAGAAAAAATTCTAACCAAAAACTTTTCTGATTTTCTTTTTCTTTTAGGATATTATTATTATATAAAGGAGAAGAATGAAGTAATTATTCTAAAATACCAAATAAACCGTAAAAAAGAAAAATAAATTCTTATAATAAATGAATAAATGAATGAGAAAACAGAAATTAAGAAAAAGAAAACACTTTAGAAACTTATAATAATTATCAAAATAATATTTTTACCTTAGGTGGTCTGCAAGACAGGTTGAAGCAAACCAAAATAAAATAAAACAAAAAAAAATATCCTTTCATTTTTTTACTCATATCCTGTACTTTCCCTTTTCCTGCCCTTTTTTATGGACTAATACGATTTTAATCACGAAATTTCAAAATACTTGTTTTGGTTCTTGTGCTTTTTTTTGTATAAATTCATAAAAATACTTGAGGATCAAGAATCAGAAAAAAAAAGAACATTATTTTTTATATAAATACGATTTTTTTGTTATTTTTTTGTATTCCAGGTGGTTTTTAATAAAAATAAAGTTGGGTCAAACCAATGGTTTGTATTGTAGCACTTTTCCCTTCAAAAAAATACTGCTTTTAAAAACAATCTATGTATATCTACCACACTATTAAAATTATTTTCATTCATAAACGAAACTATTTCTAGGATTGCATATATTTAGGATGACGCATATATGCAGTCTTTGAAATAAAGCAAAAATTAATATAAAAAGGGCTTAACATAATGCTCGATTTTAAGGGTTAATTGTGTGAGTTAAGAAAAATAATTAT